TCACCCACCGAGGGACATGGGCAAACTGACGCGCAAGCAGTCCCAGCCGGCGGATGGATGCATCCGAAATGGCCCATCACCGAAATAACGTCCGATCACTGGAAGCTGAAAAACCAGCTGATCACTGAGTTGGCCGATAACAGGAATGGCTGATAACCGAGAGTCTACTGTATACTGTAGTCAGGAGAGGCGAAGCAGGAGGAGGTGGGGTCATAGTGGAACCATCCACTAGTCTAAGTAGGTCTTTGTCCAAAGGTTGGACAAGTGTTGAAGAATTCTTTGTATCAAGATCCCATGATGTTTCAGTGTCTGACAGATGTGATAAATGGTTTAAAACTGACAAGGTGAAGATTGAGACACTTATGCAACATATGAGCAAATAGAATTATCAAAGCTTATTGCTTGGGTAGCATTGAAAATTGAGTTGGGCAAATATTCTGTTAGTGGGATGGATTGTGAAGGACCTGCCTAGTATGGGCCAACAGGCCTGCTGCAATGTATTATTATTATTATTAGTACGTATGTACTAATAACTTTCTAGTTGTAGCTACACTGAGAGTAAAAGGTAGATGGGATACAAGGAGAATACAAGCATCAGGGAAGAGAGAGGTGAAGGTTTATAAACTAAAAGAGGAGGCAGTTAGGGTAAGATATAAACAGCTATTGAAGGATAGATGGGCTAATGAGAGCATAGGAAATGGTATCGAAGAGGTATGGGGTAGGTTTAAAAATGTAGTGTTAGAGTGTTCAGCAGAAGTTTGTGGTTACAGGAAAGTGGGTGCGGGAGGGAAGAGGAGCGATTGGTGGAATGATGATGTAAAGAGAGTAGTAAGGGAGAAAAAGATAGCATATGAGAAGTTTTTACAAAGTAGAAGTGATGCAAGGAGGGAAGAGTATATGGAGAAAAAGAGAGAGGTTAAGAGAGTGGTGAAGCAATGTAAAAAGAGAGCAAATGAGAGAATGGGTGAAATGTTATCAACAAATTTTGTTGAAAATAAGAAAAAGTTTTGGAGTGAGATTAACAAGTTAAGGAAGCCTAGAGAACAAATGGATTTGTCAGTTAAAAATAGGAGAGGAGAGTTATTAAATGGAGAGTTAGAGTTATTGGGAAGATGGAGGGAATATTTTGAATAATTGTTAAATGTTGATGAAGGTAGGGAAGCTGTGATTTCGTGTATAGGACAAGGAGGAATAACATCTTGTAGGAGTGAGGAAGAGCCAGTTGTGAGTGTGGGGGAAGTTCGTGAGGCAGTAGGTAAAATGAAAGGGGGGTAAGGCAGCCGGGATTGATGGGATAAAGATAGAAATGTTAAAAGCAGGTGGGGATATAGTTTTGGAGTGGTTGGTGCAATTATTTAATAAATGTATGGAAGAGGGTAAGGTACCTAGGGATTGGCAGAGAGCATGCATAGTTCCTTTGCATAAAGGCAAAGGGGATAAAAGAGAGTGCAAAAATTATAGGGGGATAAGTCTGCTGAGTATACCTGGTAAAGTGTATGGTAGAGTTATTATTGAAAGAATTAAGAGTAAGACGGAGAATAGGATAGCAGATGAACAAGGAGGCTTTAGGAAAGGTAGGGGGTGTGTGGACCAGGTGTTTACAGTGAAACATATAAGTGAACAGTATTTAGATAAGGCTAAAGGGGTCTTTGGGGCATTTATGGTTTTGGAAAAAGGGTTTTTGCGGGGTGGATAGGGGGGGGCAAGTGGCAGGTGTTGCAAGTGTAGGGGTTATGAGGTAGTTTACTGAAACAGTGAAGAGTTTTTACGAGGTAGTGAGCTCAAGTTAGATATGTAGGAAAGGGGAAATTTTTTCCCCAAAAAAGTGGGCCTTAGCAAGGTGGTGATGTCCCTGGTTGTTTAAATTTTTATAGATGGGTTTAAAAAGTAAAGCGGGGGTTTGGCAAGAGGCGGGGAGTAAAAGATAAAAAATCACACACAAAGTGGGAGTTGTCACAGCTGTCTTTCTGATGACACTGTGCCTTGGGAGATTTAAAGAAAGTTGCAGAGATTGGTGGATAATTTGGTAGGGTTGCAAAAGAAAAAAAAGGGTTGAATACAGGAAAGAGTAAGTTAGAGGAAACAAAAAGATTAGGTGATGAAAGTTTGGTAAATTTGGAGGGGAGGTATGGAGGGGTGAATGTATTCAGTATTTGGGAGTGACGTGTCAGTGGATGGGTTAGAAAGTGAGGTAATTAGAATTAAAGAGGGGAAAAGAGTGGTGGGCATTGGGGTCTGGGGAGACAAAGAACTTTGCCCTTTGGGAGGCAAAGGGGGGAATGTATGAGAGTATATTTTTTACCAACCTCTTTTATGGGTGTGAAGCAGGGGTGTAATGTTGCAGGGGGAAAAGGGCTGGAGGCAGTGGAAATGTCAGTCTGAGAGAAAATGTTGGTGTGAATATATGAGAGAATTCTAGTTTGGAAGTTGGAGGAGGTGCGGGATTACCAAAACGTTGCCCAGGGGGTGAGGAAGGGGTTTTTGAGGTGGTTCGGACATTTTAAAGAATGGGAAAAACAAAGACTTAAAGATGTATCTCTGTAGGGGAAAAGGAAGGCGGGGGTAGGGGTGGGCCTAGGAAAGGTTGGAGGGGGGGGGTTTAAAGGGGGTTTTGTGTGCGGGGGGGCTTGGATTTCCCCAGAGGCTGGTGAGCGTGTTTGATGGGGTGAATGGAGACAAAGGGTTTTTTTTAATACTTGACGTGCTTTTGGAGTGTGGAAAAAGTAACATTTATGAAGGGGTTCGGGGAAAAACCGGGAGGCCGGGGATTGAGCCCCTGGAGATGGGAAGTCGTCCCTGCCTCTGAAGGGGGGTGTTAATGTTGCAGTTTAAAAACTGTGTGAAAAGCCCCCTTCTGGCAAGACAGTGATGGATGATATGGTGAAAGTTTTTTTTTTCCGGGCCACCCTCCCTTTTGGTGGGAATCGGCCAGTGTATAATAAAAAAAAAAAAAAAGGGGGTTTGTAAGAGAATAAAGAAAGGGGTTCTTGGAAAGGGTGTGGGAAAAAAGATAAAGAATCACCAAAAAGGGGGAGTTGTTACATTGCTCTTTGCTGATGAACTGTCTTTGGGGGTTTCTGAAGAGAAGTTGCAGAGATTGGGGGTGAATTTGGTAGGGGTGCAAAAGAAAAAAAATTAAAGTAAATACAGGAAAGAGTAAGGTTATGAGGATAAAAAAAAGTTGGGTGATAAAAATTGGATATCGATTGGGGAGGAGAATGGAGGAGGTGAAGCATTCAGAATTTGGGAGTGGAGTGTCACGGATGGGTCTGTGAAAGATGGGGTGAAAATAGAATTGATGGGGGGAAAAAAAGGGGGTGAGGGGGTTTGCACTTAGGGTCTGTGGAGAAAAAGAACTTTGCCCTTGGGGGAAAAGAGGGGAATGTATAGGAAGTTTTACCAACGCTTTTAAGGGTGTAAGCAGGGGTGATGAATTTGGCGAGGAAAGGCTGGGGGCGTGGAGATGCATGTCTGAGGGCAATGTGTGGTGTAATATTGCAGAGAATTTGTGTTTGGAATTTTAGGAGGAGGTGCCGATCCCCAAACGTTGTCCAGAGGGCTGAAGAAGGGTTGTTAGGTGGTTCGGATTGTAGAGAGAATGGAGCGAAACAGAGTGACTTCAAGAGTGTATCAGTTGTAGGGGAAAGGGAAGGGGGGGGTGGGGGTCGGCCTAAAAAAGGTTGGAGGGAGGGGGTAAAGGAGGTTTTGTGTGCGAGGGGCTTGGACTTCCAGCGGCATGCGTGAGCGTGTTTGATAGGAGTGAAGGAGAAAAAATGGTTTTTAATTTGACGTCTGTTGGAGTGTGAGCAAGTAACATTTAAAAGGGGGTTCGGGGGAAACCAGGCCGGACTTGACCCTGGAGAGGGGAAAAGTACAGGCCTGCCCTGAAGGAGGGGGTGTTAATGTTGCTTTTAAAAATGATGTAAAGCCCCCTTTGGCAAGACATTTGAGGGAGTGAATGAGGGTTTGAAAGTTTTTTTTTTTTTGGGTCCCCCTGCCTCGGGGGACGGCCGATTGTTGAAAAAAAAAAGTATGTATTTTATAATAATTTTTTTAAAATTTTTAAATTATTTTTAAATTTAATTTAGGGAACTGGAGAAAACAGATCCTTCCCTAGATCAAAAAGGGCCCCCCACCAAGGAAACCCCCCTTGAGGAGGAAGTTCGCATCCGAAATTTTGTTTCATATCCAAAAGCAAAAAATCGACCAAGTGATGTTGTATCCTGAAAAATTCGCATGGGGGGGGCATTCATAAACCGAGGTTCCCCCTGTATTTTATGATATTGATGATTGAATATTGGTATTGTATATTTGGGAAAAATTACGCTTTTTTCTTTTTTTTAACTTTGGTCTTCTAACACTGTCATCTGAATACCTATAATTTACAGTTGTTTTAAAGTGTAAAGTTCTCAAAACATGGAAAAAAGTTAATGTTTGACTTTATTGAGTAATCTGGGTTTTTAAAAAAAATATGTGCTGGGGTGGGTGAATTCCACTGTTAGTAGCATGAAAACATAATAAATTTGGAATGAAATAAGTTATCTTCATGCCACTTCCACTCCCTCTTTGCTGGTAGGGAAGCTGGGGAGGGGAAAAACCAGCGGCTGTCTTAGCAAGAGTGGTAATCAATTACTGCAGCTTTTTGTTTGGTTATTAAAGGTTTAAGGTGATTTGCTGTGGTTGAGCCCCATGCACAAATACCATAGGTGAGGTAAGGGTAAATGAGAGAGTGGTAAAGAACAAGAAGAGCCATTTGGGGTGCATAATACCGTATCTTTGAAAGGATGCCTACTGTTTTGGAGACTTTCTTGGATATTTGCTGTGTGTGGGTCTAGAATTTGAGACTGCAGTCAAGGTGGAGACTTAGAAATTTGCCCTCTGTGTGTTAAAGGTTAAGACTTATTCACCTTTTCAGTTTTATTCTAGTATGCTTGATGTTTTTCTTTCTTTACAAGTTTTTAAATTCTAAGGGTAAATATTATTTAAAACTGCTCTTTTAGGTTTGGTTGCTGCCCTGATGGTGTATCTCCAGCATCAGGTGAAAACTTCTCAGGATGTAGTAGCTTTGAGTGTGAAGGATCTGGTCCATGCGAATTCTGTAATGAGACCAAATATGGGTGCTGTCCTGATGGTGCTTCAGCATCAAGGCCCCCGATCTGAAAGGCTGTCTTTGATGAATGAAGATCCCCTCAGAACAATAAAGGTTAGAGTTGTTTTGCTATTTCAGTTCCTTGGCATTTTTAGTGGTAGTTTTAAACAAAATGTAGCTGTGATAAGGTTTGTGAGTTTTATTGAGGAATTAGTCTGCTTTTTTAAAACGTTTTACAATTGTGTGTTGGTGACTTTAAGAACATGCCTACTCAAGTTTCCCCTTGTCTAGGTCCTAAAAATGTATCTTTCACTTTTGATTCAAAATATTTCCTTCCACCTACTTCAATGTAGTTGCTCATGGGGGGAAATTAAAATTTTTTACTTAGTAAAAAGAATGTCATAATGGACAAACAAACACAGTATTGAACCCCCCATTTCCAGATAAATAAATTTTTGGAGGACTGTATTGAAAAAATTTTCAAGGCTAAATTTAAAGGGGGTCACACCTTTTTGATTTTTTCTTTGCCCAACAAAGGGCTTTTTTCAAGTCAAAATAAATGACTTGATAAAGTCCACTGTTTTGGTGAAACATTAAAACGTAAATGCTGCATATACATGGTGGTGTGTTTCCTTTCTTGGCACCCTACCCTTGGTGGGGAAAAATAAAATTAGATTGTACATCAAGTTTTTGTTTGCCCCCTGTTTTTTTTTGGGGGTGAAAAGGTTCAGCTGTATTAAAAACATAAAAAAGTCACACTTTGAATCCTATTTGGGAAGAGGAATCTAATTGCTTTTTCAAGGGTTGCCATAAGTTATGCTCTGTAAATCAGTATTATTAAGGAAGAATTTTTTTTTGGCGGAATTTTTATGAACCCTTTTTTTGAGTTTAAATCACAGAGTTGTCAAAAATTTTGGGAAAATTTAAGTAATTATAGTTCCTTTAAAAATGAATAAAAAAGATTTTAAAGTTTGATGGCAGATTTATTTTAATTTGCGAGTTAAAAAAACCATTGAAGAAACAAAAGGCTTGTATGTATATTAAATTATTGAAGTTGGAACTTATGCTTATGGGAATCTTTACTGAGGAAAAAATTTTTCCCACAGTGGCCCCTCGTTCGTAACGAGCAGAAAGGGGTTAAGGAGAGGAAGGGGTTTTTAGGTAATCAGTCCCCGCCTGGAGTCGACTGTTCATCCCCTCAAGATTTTTATGGACTAAACCCCAAACTCCCCCTCTCCTTACACCCTTTCTCTTTTTTATTGGGTGATGAGCCACTGTGTGGCAAAAACGTTTCCCCAGTAAAGATTCCCATATTTCATAAGTTCCAAACTACAACTTTTCGGAATTTTTAAACCATTTTTAACATTTAATTATTGTGCAATTTTTGGATTTTTTGAAAAAGTTTTATGATGATTTTTTTTCAAATGAAGATTCTTTTATTATGATGAGATAACCTCGTTGCAAAATGCATAATTCGAGGTCAATTTATATTTAAACCCTGTTAAACCATTAAATTTTCCCTAACAAAATAAAAGTTTCTAAACATTTTTGCAGAAAGATCAAATTCAGTAACTCTACTTAACTTGAGGCTGACAGTGGTCAAAAAAATTTTTTTTCTGGTTAGCGGGTTGAGTCCTAGAAATGGGAAGTAAAATGCCTGCACTTTAAAGGAAGGATTTGGGATTTGGCAGTTTTGGAGGGACTTCAAAACGTCACATCTGAGTCCCCTTGCAAAGACGTGATGATGAGTGATGGTGAAAGTTTAAATGAGATAAAAAATATTTTTTTCCTTTTTGGGTTTTTCTTTTTTTTTGGGGTCACCCTGCCTTGGGGGGAAAATTGGCCGTGTGAAAAAATAGAAAAAATTGTGAAAATTATTTTACTTTATTTCAGAATATCTTGACAACAGCTATAACTTTGACAAACCTCAACACAAAGAGATTCCCCCTGACTGTATATTTCATCATTTTTTTGTTCCCCCAGACTTTATATGCTGCACATGGACAAAAATGATGAAGGATGTGTCTCTCTTCAGCTTTTGGGGTGTTCCCCAAATGACATTACTGATGCACAGGGCCAAATTTTCAAGGTAATAATTCTGTTCACTGCATTGATGACCCTCCTCTCCCTCCACACAGAGCAATCAAAAAATTCATTTGCCCCCTTCCTTTGTGTCCAGCATTCAGATTGTTTAATTTAAATAGTTATAGCAGTACTTTCAGGAAATCACTTAAATACCAAATGTCCCGACTTCCAAAGAGGAGGTAGGGGTCCCCACAGTCCATAAAGCTCTTTCAGATTTTAAAAATAACATCCCAATATCAAATTTGTCAATTTGTCAAAAATATTTAAAAAGGTTAAACTACAAAAATTATATATATTAACTTAATGTAATACTTATAAGAACTTCCAATATATATTTAAAAAAAACAAGGAAAATTGCTTGAAGAGAATAGTCGGTTCAAAAGAAAAAAATATGCTTTTCAAAAATTATTTTTTTTTTTTTTTTTTAAGCTGTCCCAACAAGGTTGATTAAAAATGCTTTATCTCCCAGAGGGTTTAAAACTTTAAAAAAGGCCTTTTTAAAGCTGTTAACCTAACAGTATTCTTCTTAAAAATTAAATTTTTAGTAATTAATTGTCATGAAAACAACTTTATCCCTATTAGCAGGCAATAGCACTAAAATATGCACTTCTTTTTTCTTCCATTAAAAAAATTAAGTCTATAAAACAGTATTTGTACCCCCCCCTTTTTTTCATCTTTAACATCAGTGATCTTCCTAATGTTTTCCAACACCTAAAACAATTGATGGCAACACTGCTTATGCATTCTGAAAGTTAGATCTTAACACCATAAAGGGGCCAATTGGCACATCTTTTCTGGAACATGCAATTATGGTAAGCTCTCGTTAAATTCACAAGATACATTCCTTAAAATTGGCACTTAACTTAAAATGAAATTACATAACATGAACAACAAAATTGTAACATACTATTTTGTTTACATATACAAGGCTTATCATCTTGGAGAATTACATTAATGAATATGAGATTCTACAGATTGTATGTGGAGAATACACCAGCACCCATCTTGTCAGTTAATTTTCCTCTTCTTCTTTCAACAAACCGGCCATATCCCACCTAGGCAGGGTGGCCCAAAAAGAAAAACAAAAGTCCTTCTTTTTACATTTAGTAATTTATACAGGAAAAAGGGGTTACTAACCCCTTGCTCCCAGCATTTTAGTCGCCTTTTACGACATGCATGGCTTATGGAGGAATAATTCTGTAGAAATGAAGTTATGGTCAAAAAAATATATTGCCATTTTTGTGGTGACCTTCTTGGATTTCTGTTAATTCTAAAATATGCTCAGTGCTGTGATGATGATATTTATTGGTTCTGTATTGGGTACCCTGAGTGTTAATATGTTTGTAGAAATTTGGATTAGTTAACAATTCCAGTTTCACCCTCTGGCTCCTAGACAATACATACTCAAGTACATTATATGCAGTACTCATATACAAATGAAGGACTCATAGCAAAACCAAAAATTATATTCAGTTACCTTTGGAATCATAATAAAAGAAAAAGAAAATGTGCAAAGCCTTTTTTTTAATGATTCTTTAAGATATGGTATTTACACAATTTCAGAATTATTTACAGAACCATTAACATTACTCAAGATCATTTCGGTGTAGAATGTTCATTAACTATCTACAGTGCAATAAATGAAATTATATGTAGTAAGAGCATTCATATATTGATATTTTTCTCACTATTAGTCACATGTATATCATGAAAATCTCTACATTATTCATAGGAATTGGACTGTCAATAGAGAAGTTCATTTGTTAGGAAAAATGCTTGTTTTATTAGCTTTTAACGGGAAATTCACTAAAAGATTGTATCGTCTCACCATCAGGCTGTGGATGTGAGTACAGTGCATTTGGCTGCTGTCCAGACAATGAAACAGTAGCTAGAGGGCCAAATAATGCTGGATGTGGATGCCAGTACACACAGTATGGCTGTTGTCCAGACACCCACACACCTGCAGCTGGGGAGGACTACAGTGGGTGCCCTTGTAATACTTACACATATGGCTGCTGTCCAGATGGTGTTAGTGTTGCACAAGGACCTGATACAGAGGGTCAGTTCCTAAGAGTTTTTATGTAATTTCTTAAAGATCTTAATACCATAATGAAATGTCATGTGAAAATATAATAATCTTATCTGTTTTTCACTGAGGCTGGACAAGGAATTCTTGCTGATAATAAATGCTGAAGGAGGGGCGGAGATATATTGCAGTTTTTTAATTGTAGCATCGGGGCCCCATTGGCAAGACAGTGATGGAGTGATAAATTAGACACGTGTGCAACTCTTGGGTATCTTTATTGAAGAAACGTTTCGCCACACAGTGGCTTCATCAGTCCATACAAAGGAGAATCTTGAAGAACAGGAGGAGAATGAGGTAATCAGTCCCTCAGCCTTGAGTCGATGTGGTCAGTCCATCAATCTTGAACAGAATACAGCATATGTGTGGAGAAGTAGCTTATATACCATAGGCAGAAGAGGTGCAGCAGTTGTAGGTGGTGTCACATTTGTCCAATGTGGAAGTAGGTCGTGTGGCGAAACGTTTCCACAGTAAAGATACCCAAGAGTTGCACATGTGTCTAATTTATCAACGTGTTGGTTCTCTGAACCATTCATCTACAATCCTGTCAGACACTGCAACTTCTTGGGATCTTAATACTTGGGAATTCTTCGCTTGCCTAACCCTTGGGCACGACCTACTTCCACACTGGACAAATGTGACACCACCTACGACTGTTGCACCTCTCCTGCCTATGGTATATAAGATACTTCTCTGCACATGCGCTGCATTCTATTCAAGATTGATGGACTGACCACATCGGCTCAAGGTTGAGGGTTGTAGATGAATGGTTCACAGAACCGACACATTGATAAATTTATCAAGGTTGATAAATTTATCAAGGTTGAGGGACTGATTACATCATTCTCCTCCTGTTCTTCACAACTCTTCTTTGTATGGACTGATGAAGCCACTGTGTGGCGAAGCGTTTCCTCAATAAAGATACCCAAGAGTTGCACATGTGTCTAATTTATCAGTGTGTCAGTTCTCTGAACCATTCATCTACAGTGATGGAGTGAGAGTAGATGAGTGTCTTCTTTTTCAGGTCACCCTGCCTCAGTGGGAAATGGCTGATGTGTTAAAAAATAATGCTAATTAAAAATAGTGTTTTTACTTTTATCTTTTTTAGTAAATTAATTATTTTAGGGTGTGGGTGTGAGTATGAGAAGTTCGGGTGCTGCAAAGACGGACGCACACCTGCCAGTGGTCCAGAGTATGAGGGATGTGGCTGTGCGGAATCTGAGTTTGGCTGCTGCCCAGATGGTGTTACACCTGCCACTGGAAAGTTCTTTGAGGGCTGTCAGGATGAAGTTTCTATTATACCAGGAGGTGAGAATACTTAAAATAAAGCTATTAAAGGAAAATAAAAAGAAACATCCTTCTTTTACAGGCACACCACCGATTTTCCAGCACCCAGACCAAGAGGGGTCATACTATAACAATTCAACAATATGCCTCTGACCCACTAATTATATACTTCCCTTTACTCAGTGCATTTATGATGTGTATGCTTATTTTATGATGTATAGAGAGAGCACATTTGTTTGGTATAAATTGGTGAAGATCCTTAAATTTAATACAGCCTTTCCTCACTTTGCAATGTACTCGTTTATTGATGACTCAAACTTACAGCGGGCTCTCTGACCAGTATGCTTACCTAAATAATGTATATTAGAGATGATTTCCTCTATTCTGTTTATTAGAATACATAGTACACTACTGTGTAAACATTGGAAAATATATCAGAAATGTTATAAATGGTGCAAAAGTGACATTAAAACAATACAAATGATGGTTGACACAAACCCACTGCCATTATAGTATGCTCCTCACTTAGTGACGAATTCGTTTACCAAAGTGATCTTAGGAACAGAACTCCGTCGTTAAGTGAGGAGAGGCTGTATTTAGTTTTAGTTAAGGTATACCCCCAGGTTTAATTATTAACAGGTATACTCGAGGTTAAATTGTTAACATTATTTCTTTTTCTCTTTTTGTTTTTAATCAAATACATTCATACCTTATGTATGATGATTGTATATTTATAGAAGGCTAAATACTGATTTAGTGAAGAGTGGTGAAGAACCAGAGATTTAATATTAGTTGAAAATCATAAGTGATGACAGGCAATTTTCATTATCTTTGATGGCATTTAGCTTTTTCTTCAACATTCGAGGGATGCTCTTCTTTTAATCCAAGACAGTGAAACTATGAAAATGACTCTCCATTTTGAAGAACTAGAGAGGCAAGTATTGAAACAAAGGCAACAAATTCCTATGAGCAGTCAGCAACAGTACTTCGTGGGAGGGGCTGGGTTTGATTGGTATTGTGGGTATGGGAGTAAATTCTTGGGTAGTTTTGAGTAGGGGTGGTTTTGATAAGGACTTGCCTTGTATGGGCGAGTAGGCCTTCTGCAGTGTTCCTCCATTCTTATGTTCTTACATCCTCCCAGCACAGTTTCTAGCCACAGACTTAGAGTTGTGGTGAGGCCAGGTGAGTTGACTGGCCACATACTACCCTTCCTTCCCTCCACCATCGCTATTTAAGACCTTCTCATCACCCTGCCTTGTCTTTGATATGAACCATTGCACAAAAAGGAATACCAGTAATCCTGGAGGTGCTAATGAACATTTTTAAAAGAAAAATGAGAAAACTATATGGCAAGATTATTGTAGTTCCTGATGTTGTTTTAACTATGCCCATTTTCTCTGGAAGGAGTTCCCTGCCCATTTTCTGTGCAAGCAATAAACGATAAATGCGTCAGATATACGTTTCCCTCAAGCCTTTCCTAAGTAAGTTTATTTTTTATTTTTGTCTGGAATAAGAGAGATGCCAAACCATCTGTTGCTGGAAAATGAGTGTTGTCCATGTACCATTCATTTTTACAGTAGTTAATATAGTCTGCCAATTACTTGGCTTGCGTGCTTTTCTGTTTTATCCATACTGTTTTCTTGTACACAATGCAGTACATGCATGCTAAAGCTGTTTAAGATTTTATATGTTTTATTGTAAGGTTGTGTATCTTTATACGTATATGCTTCTAAACTGTTGTGTTCTGAGCATTTCTGCAAAAACAGTGATAATGTGTGAGTGAGGTGAAAGTGTTGAATGATGATGAAAGTATTTTCTTTTTGGGGATTTTCTTTCTTTTTGGGTCACCCTGCCTCGGTGGGAGACGGCCGACTTGTTGAAAAAAAAAAAAAAAGGTTTTTCAATAGCCTAATTAGAAACATTACTACAAGATGAGTATTGTATATAAAAAATGAAATATTTGCATTTATAAGTCAAATTTTTATTTTATTACGTAATTCAATGAGGGAGTAAGGAAGAAGTGAATGTGTTCAGATATTTGGGAGTAGACTTGTCAGCAGATGGGTTTATGAAAGATGAGGTAAAGCATATAATTGATGAAAGAAAAAAGGTGAGTGATGCATTGAGGTATCTTTTTTTTTTTTTTCTCAACAAGTTGGCTATCTCCCACCAAGGCAAGGTGATCCAAAAAGAAAGAAAATCCCCAAAAAGAAAATAATCTCATCATCATTCAACACTTTCACCTCACTCATACATAATCACTGTCTTTGCAGAGGCACTCAGATACGACAGTTTAGAAGTCCCTCCAAGCTATCAATATCCCAGACCCCTCCTTTAAAGTGCAGTCATTGTACTTCCCATTTCCAGGATTTAAGTCCAGCTAAATCTATAATAACCAGAAAGTATCGGTATACCAAACAAGCATCATTGTTCTTGCTGTATACCAGTTGACATCAGAGGCCAGTACCGGACATTGAGGTATCTGTGAAGACAAAAAACATTATCCATGGAGGTGAAGAAGGGAATGTGCGAGGGTACAGTGATACCAACACTCCTATATGGATGTGAAGCATTGGTTGTACATGCTACAGCAGGAAGGAGGCTGGAGATGTCGTGTCTAAGGGCAATGTGTGGTCTAAATATCATGCACAGAATTCGTAGTGTAGAAATTAGGGAGAGGTGTATGTTGTGATAGAAACACAGGCCTTATCTCTAGGCTTTATTGAACATAGAATCTTCATAGTACTTCTGCAACAACAAAATATAATGACTAGTACATCTAATAATGGCTTCTACAGGGATGGTGATGTCTTGCATATGTCAAGAGAAAAGTTATAACTACAGGCCACATATTTAAACTCACCATGTAATCTGCATCACTAATATATAATATATATTTTATAATATATTATATATATATATAATATATATATATATAGAGAGGAGAGAATCACACACAATGTGTTGGCGCCCATGACACACACCAAACTGTTGTTGTTGTTAAGGGCCCCAAGAGGTGGTGCAGTATTATCCTGCTGCTGCTCCCCACAGGACCAGTATCACTACAGTGTGGAGTTGCTAAAAATCTTATTCAGAGGGCTGAAGAGGGATTGTTGAGGTGGTTTGGTCATTTTGAAAGAATGGAGCAAAATAGGATGACTTGGAGGGTGTATAAAACTGTAGTGGAGGGGAGAAAGGGTAGGGGTCATCCAAGAAAAGGATGGAGGGAGGGGGCAAAAGAGGGTTTGTGTGCAAGGGGCTTGGACATGCAATAGGCATGTGTGAGCGTGTTAGATAGGAGTGAATGGGAACTAATGGTTTTTGGGAATTGACGAGCTGTGAGCAAGGTGATATTCTGTGAAGGGATTCAGGGAAACTGGTTAGCTGGACTTGAGTCCTGGAGGTGGGAAGTACAATGCCTGCACTTTAAAGGAGGGAAATTGGTTGTTTGGAGTGACATCTAAACTGTCATATTTGATTGCCTTGGCAAAGACAGTGATTATGTGTGAATGATGGTGAAAGTGTTTCTTTTTTTAGGTCACCTACCTTGGTGGGAAAAAGCCAGTAGCTTAAAAAAAAAATCATTGTTTGAGCAAGGTCTGCAGCATTTTAATTCTCTCTTCCTGATTCTTTATTTTGGCTAATAGCACTGAAAGATCTTGATATTATAGTATATATTCTGAAAATTTCAGTGTTTGATCACAGTGTGTTTGATTCATTATATCAGTTTAAAGTTAAGGATATAAGGACTTTTCTCTGTGGTTTTTCAGCAATAACATGTACCTAGAAGGGGAACCCTAGGATGACATTTCAGTCCGTCCTGTCTGTCATGTCACAGTTGTATTGTTACTAATTATTCTCTGAGGCTTTGTTGTTTAGTTTTCCTGTGGAATGATTAACTCACCATTCTCTCCTTGAATATTATTTTACCATGTTAAGTTATTTACTCAACTCAGATGAAATGGACTTTATAAAAGCCGGTTGATAAATATGTAGAGGAGTTGGTAAAAATCATTAATTGCATATTAATTACAGAGGTGTGTGGCTATACTAAAGACAGAGGCCCTTGCACCAACTTCACAGTTAAGTGGTTCTTTGACATGGATTATGGTGGCTGTACTCGCTTCTGGTATGGTGGATGTGAAGGAAATCTTAACAAATTTAATACACAGGAAGAGTGCAAGTCTGCTTGTGTTGAACCTGAGGGAATGGGTAAGAAAACTAGTACAGTAAATATTTCTTCAGTCACACATTCATTGTCTTTTGAAATTGGAAGCAGTTATCAACTTAAATAATGAAATTCAGATCTCCATAAAAACTATTTAATTTTAAAAGACATGAAATAATAGTCTAGTTTTAAAAAAAAGCATTAAAAACTTTGTTTATACATAAAAATTAGATATAATGATGGAACGTAGGGCAAGGGCTACTGGGATGTAGGGGAAATATGAAAGGACAGTACATTATTGAAGATAAAATTTCATTCAAGGTGAGCTTAGCAACTCTAATTAAGACTTAATAAATTTTATCTTGAGCAAATTATTCTTTGTAATAAAAGTTCATTCTTCCATGTGTGTGTGTGTACTCACCTAATTGTGATTGCAGGGGTTGATTTGTAGCTCCTGGCCCTGCCTCTTCTCTGGTTGCTACCAGGCCACTCCTCCTGCTCCATGAGCTTTATCATATCTCTTCTTAAAGCTATGTATGGATCCTGCCTCCACTACATCACTTCCCAGACTGTTCCACTTCCTGACAACTCTGTGACTGAAGAAATACTAACATCCCTGTGATTCATCTGAGTCTTCAACTTCCAACTGTACTCACCTATTTGTGGTTGCAGGGGTCGAGTTATAGCTCCTGGCCCCACCTCTTCACTGTTTGCTACTAGGTTCTCTCTCTCCCTGCTCTATGAGCTTTATCAAACCTCGTCTTAAAACTGTGTATGGTTCCAGCCTTCACTACATCACTTTCTAGGCTATTCCACTTCCTGACAACTCTATGACTGAAGAAGTACTTCCTAACATCCCTTTGACTCAATTGAGTCTTCAACTTCCAATTTTGACCCCTTGTTTCTGTGTCCCATCTCTGGAACATCCTGTCTTTGTCCACCTTGTCAATTTCTCGAAGTATTTTATATGTCATTATCATGTCTCCCCTGACCCTCCTGTCCTCCAGTGTCGTCAGGCCGATTTCCCTTAACCTTTCTTCGTAGGACAATCCCCTTAGCTTTGGGTCTAGTCTTGTTGCAAACCTTTGCACTTTCTCTAATTTCTTGACGTGCTTGACCAGGTGTGGATTCTAAACTGGTGCTGTATACTCCAGTATGGACCTGACATATATGGTGTACAGTCTTGAACGATTCCTTACTAAGGTTTCGGAACACTATTCTTAGGTTTGCCAGATGCCCGTATGCTGCAACATGTGTGCCTCAGGAGATGTGCTCAGTATTATCCTAACCCCAAGATCTTTTTCCTTGAGTGAGTTTTGCAGTCTTTGGCCACCTAGACTATACCCTGTCTGTGGTCTTCCTTGCCCTTCCCCAGTCTTCATGACTTTGCATTTGGCAGGGTTTATAGCCTGTCCAGGTCTCTTTGTAGTCCTGCCTGATCCTCGACTGATTTAATCCTCCTCATTAACCTCAAATCATCTGCAAACAGGGACACTTCTGAGTTTATCCTTTCTGTTATGTCATTCACATATACCCAAAACAGAACAGGTCCTAGGATGGACCCCTGTGGAGCCCCGCTCATCACAGGCGCCCACATACCTTGACTTGTTGTTGCCTCCCTGTCAGATATTCTCTGATCCATTACAGTGCCTTTCCTGTTATGCATGTCTGATCCTCTAGCTTTTGCTTTAACCACTTGTGAGGAACTGTATCGAAGGCCTTCTTGCAGTCCAAGAAAATGCAGTCTATCCATCTCTCTCTCTCTCATTACCTTGTCATAAAACTCCAGTAGGTTTGTGACACAGGATTTTTCTTCCCTGAAACCATGCTGGTTGTCGTTTATAAGCTTGTGTCTTTCTAGATGCTTCACCACTCTCCTGCTGATGACTTTCTCCATGATTTTGCATACTATACATGTCAGTGACACTGATCTGTAGTTTAATGCCTCATGTCTGTCTCCTTTCTTAAAAATTGGGACTACATTTGCCATCTTCCATACCTCAGGTAGTTGCCCAGTTTCAATGGATGTGCTGAAGATTTTTGTTAGTGGCACACACAGCATCTCTGCTCCCTCTCTAAGGACCCACAGAGAGATGTTGTCTGTTCCCACAGCCTTTGAGGTATTGAGTTCACATACCAACTTCTTCATCTCCTCCTCAGTTGTGTATATTTCATCCAGCACTTGTTGGTGTACCTCCCTATTCTGAATTCCTGGAGTCCTTCCTCTCACAACTGTAAATACTTCTTTAAATATCTTCCTGAGCTCCTCACATACCTCGTGGTCACTTCTTGTAAACTTCCTACCTTCCTTCCTTAGCCTGATTACCTGGTCTTGACTGTTGTTTTCCTCCTGATATGGCTATACAACAGCTTCAGGTCAGACTTGACCCAAAGCTGTTGCATAGCCAGACCCGTGTATGTGTGTGTGTGTGTGTGTGTGTGTGTGTGTGTGTGTGTGTGTGTGTGTGTGTGTGTGTGTGTGTGTGTTTATTTGTTAGATAGGAGTTGTGGGCCTTGATGAGCTGTTGGAATGTGGAGAAATTTAGGGAACCCGGTTAGGCAAGCTAAGGAAGCTGTGCTCAAAACATAGATCTGCGTGAGAGACCTCTGACGTCAGAAATGTAGATTTACATGATGGCCACTCATGTGGTTAAATCATACTTCAAACAATTGATATTTAATACTACTCACAAAGTTTCAGAAATTGTTACTCTTTGTCTTTCTTTAGCATACAGGAAATACCATTTAGTAGATAAAAGCTTAATTATGGTACCTCCTGAAATGATGCAGTAAATTCCATGCTGTATAATAGGAAAATAATGTAATCAGTGAATTGCAAATGTTTGAAAGCAGTTTTTTTATTTCACTATAAATGAAATATTTGTCTGATTAGATTCTCCAATATGTGTACTGTGTCTATAACAAGAATTCCTGATACTGAAAATATAATTTTTAATCCCACAATTCCTCAACAGAGTCATGCCATCTTCCTCGTGTGGAAGGCCCTTGTACTGGAACTGTTCCATCGTGGTACCATGATTCAGCAACTGGTAGTTGTAAACCTTTTGTATATGGTGGCTGCTTAGGCAACAACAACCGCTATAACTCACAACAGGAGTGTGAAGAAATGTGTGTTATTCCAGAAAAAACAGGTACACAGATTTTCTTTGTCCTTATTGATTGTTTGATACTGGTAATGTACATGATGTTAAATATTTTTATTTTGGTAGATAGTATTAATCATATTTATTTATTACTGTATGCAGATAGACAGGCAACTGGAGCATTGGTGTTGTATAAATATGTTCTAGTTGCAGAATAATGCAAATAAATAAAAATATCTGAAAATCTTCCAAGATAATTCTCAGTGCTTCATCATGATTCTGTAAGTTTTCATTTGAAATACCATTTGTCATAACTCATAGCTAATTATTGCAGTTAATAGTATTTGGCTTTGCTTTATAATCCTTTCTTGTTTTTTATATTTTAAATTAATCTCCAGTCTCATATAAATGCCTTCTTCTCATTACTGTTAAAACATTTAATAATTTTTTATTATAAACTTTGTAGAGCATAGTCTTTTTCAATAAATGAAATGGTTAACCTTAAGATGCATTTATGGGTGCAAGAAAAAAAAATATCTAAGGGTATTTATTGTATAATAAAGTCTTGTACACTACAGACTTTTCTTACACTCTGGAAGCAGAATTAGGTAAGGAAGTGTTACCGACTCCCTTCCTTGAGGGTGACTGGATATCCAGTACATGTTCAAAGCATTCACTTTATTCTCCATTACTGTGTTGGAGCTAACATTGCTGTGTCAGAGCTAACATAGATTCACGTTTATGTTTGAAGCATTCACTTCATTCTCCAGTCATCTCAGAGCTAACATTGCCACGCATGGCAAAAGTAACATCCAACTTAAAGTATTACTAGCAGTGCTCTTGGTCTCTGTGTTTTATGTTCAGTGATGAGAGAGGAATGTATACCTGGAGGGTGTTCCGGGGGGTTAACTCCCCTGCAGCCCGGTCCATGACCAGGCCTCATGGTGGATCAGGAGCTTTATCTGTGTTAAGATAGCCAACTTATGTTGGGATGAAGGGTCAGAGAAACTCAAGGGCTGCCTCACTCTGCAAAATTTGAATTTTTTGTATTTTTATCCTGGTTCAGCAGTGTATTATCAAGATAGATTAGTTCACACTTTATCAAGGCACTTTAAGTGGTACAGTAACATAATGTGGTTTCAATATATAAAAATGTTTTCATCTAAAAATAGTGATGAAGGTGTATTGTACAAGACTTTAGTAAATATATACCTTAATGTCACTTTCTTTGCCAAGTCTTTCTAATAATTAAATTTCCATTTATTGAAATGAGATTCTAACCAGCTGTTGGTTTTTACTGGTTTTGCATGAACTTTAAATAATAATTGGACAACGCATTTAATTAATCATGTGAATGGACATATGTGGGGGCAATATCTTTAGTTTCACTTTTAATATTACAGTAATGTTACACGAAATACACAGAGTTATTCAATGCTGAGTTTTCCCAGATTTTGTATTTGAGATAAGTTTAACCATAAAATTATTATAGGCAGAAGAAAAAAATACTTCATATTTACTAGTAGAAAAAATTATATAAATGCACATAATAGTTTTAGTATGTAGGAAATCATATACTACAGGTATTAGTGTTCTTCATTGTAAGGTAGACTTTAAGAGTTCTGGACAATAAGTCATCGTTCATTATCAAAGTTAGCCCTTCCACTGTTGGTAGCCCTAATATTAAAAATACTAATTATATTAGAAATTTTCTTCTGAAATGGTAAAGAATCTTTTTCTGAAAGTAATGACACCAAAATATCAAATTTGTTGGAAAACTTAGGGAATTATGCAGGTGCAAAGTTGGCAGTCTCGATGCAAATTTATGCACTGGTGATTTTGCTCAATTTGAGCCCTGTATTAAGCCATTTCTATTGCTCAGTTCAACCAAATTATTAGCTATTTCACTAATATACATTCTGTTCTATCAACTGAGCACTCCTTCAACTATCAGAACTCATTCAAATATCAGAACAACTCTATAAAGTGAACAGAAATTGGTAATTTGGGCAGTTTTATACAAGTTTAAAAAAAAAATTCCAGTTTAAAAACAGAGTCCAAAATAAACACTGTAATCATTTCAGCCACTAAAGCAACATTTCCCCTGTTCATTAATCATGTTCTCAGGCCCCACTTATATTATACTTTCCCTCCATTTTGAATTCATCATCACACAAAAAATTAAGTTTTACCCTGTTTCTCGAATAATAAAATATAACAAGGAATGAACGAAAGCCTGTAATTGTTTTATATGATGATAGGATTGCTGGTGTCCTTTTCTCTGTCTCATGAACATGCAAGATTTCAGGTACGTCTTGCTACTTCTACTCACACTTAGGTCACACTTTTTTTTTTTTTAACAAGTTGGCTGTCTCCCACCGAGGCATGGTGACCCAAAAAGAAAGAAAATCTCCAAAAAGAAAATACTTTCATCATTATTCAACACTTTCACCTCACTCACACATAATCACTGTTTTTGCAGAGGTGCTCAGAACACAACAGTTTAGAAGCATATACGTATAAAGATACACAACATATCCCTCCAAACTGCCAATATCCCGAACCCCTCCTTTAGAGTGCAGGCATTGTACTTCCCATTTCCAGGACTCAAGTCCAGCTATATAAAAATAACCGGTTTCCCTGAATCCCTTCACTAAATATTACCCTGCTTACACTCCAACAGATCGTCAGGTCCCAAATACCATTTGTCTCCATTCACTCCTATCGAACATGCTCATGCATGCCTGCTGGAAGTCCAAGCCCCTAGCCCACAAAACCTCCCATACCCCTTCCTTCCAACCTTTTTGAGGACGACCCCTACCCCGCCTTCCTTCCCCTACAGATTTAAACGCTCTCCATGTCATTCTACTTTGATCCATTCTCTCTAAATGACCAAACCACCTCAACAACCCCTCTTCAGCCTTCTGACTAATACTTTTATTAACTCCACACCTTCTCCTAATTTCCACACTCCGAATTTTCTGCATAATATTTACACCACACATTGCCCTTAGACAGGACATCTCCACTGCCTCCAACCGCCTCCTCGCTGCTGCATTCACAACCCAAGCTTCACACCCATATAAGAGTGTTGGTACTACTATACTTTCATACATTCCTTTCTTTGCCTCCATAGATAACGTTTTTTGTCTCCACATATACCTCAACGCACCACTTGCCTTTTTTCCCTCATCATTTCTATGATTAACCTCATCCTTCGTAAATCCATCCACTGACACATCAACTCCCAAGTATCTGAAAACATTCACTTCTTCCATACTCCTCGTACGCAATTTGATATCCAATTTTTCTTTATCTAAATCATTTGATACCCTCATCACCTTACTCTTTTCTATGTTCACGTTCAACTTTCTACCTTTACACACACTCCCAAACTTGTCCACTAACCTTTGAAATTTTTCTTTAGAATCTCCCATAAGCACAGTATCATCAGCAAAAAGCAACTGTGTCAATTCCCATTTTGTATTTGATTCCCCATAATTTAATCCTACCCCTCTCCCGAACACCCTAGCATTTACTTCTTTTACAACCTCATCTATAAATATATTTAACAACCATGGTGACATTACACATTCCTGTCAAAGACCTAGTTTTACCGGGAAGTAGTCTCCCTCTCTTCTACATACCCTAACCTGAGCCTCACTATCCTCATAAAAACTCTTTACAACATTTAGTAACTTACCACCTATTCCATATACTTGCAACATTTACCACATTGCTCCCCTATCCATTCTATCATATGCCTTTTCTAAATCCATAAATGCAATAAAAACTTCCTACCTTTATCTAAATACTGTTCACATATATGGTAGTAGGTTGGTAGACAGCAACCACCCAGGGAAGTACTACCGTCCTGCCAGATGACTGTGAAACAGAAACCTGTAACTGTTTTGCATGATGGTAGGATTGCTGGTTTCTTTTTCTGTCTCATAAACACGCTAGATAACAGGGATATCTTGCTACTCCTACTTACACTTTGGTCACACTTCACAGACACGCACATGCATATATATGCAATAAGATCACAGTGAACAGGTGTGGGATCTGATAGTGAGGTGCTGGCCAGACCCCTTATATAGCTTCCTTGGATGCTTCACTTTCATAGTTCCTTGATAATGTGAGTAGTCACGAAAGCGCTTGGAATTTCTCTATTCTTTCAGAGTGGTTGTTTTGCATGCATATATATATACATACATCTAGGTTTTTCTCCTTTTTCTAAATAGCTCTTGTTCTTCTTTATTTCTTCTATTGTCCATGGGGAAGTGGAAAAGAATCTTTCCTCCGTAAGCCATGCGTGTCGTATGAGGAGACTAAAATGCCGGGAGCAATGGGCTAGTAACCCCTTCTCCTGTAGACATTTACTAAAAAAGAGAAGAAGAAAAACTTTATAAAACTGGGATGCTTAAATGTGCGTGGATGTAGTGCGGATGACAAGAAACAGATGATTGCTGATGTTATGAATGAAAAGAAGTTGGATGTCCTGGCCCTAAGCGAAACAAAGCTGAAGGGGGTAGGGGAGTTTCAGTGGGGGGAAATAAATGGGATTAAATCTGGAGTATCTGAGAGAGTTAGAGCAAAGGAAGGGGTAGCAGTAATGTTAAATGATCAGTTATGGAAGGAGAAAAGAGAATATGAATGTGTAAATTCAAGAATTATGTGGATTAAAGTAAAGGTTGGATGCGAGAAGTGGGTCATAATAAGCATGTATGCACCTGGAGAAGAGAGGAATGCAGAGGAGAGAGAGAGATTTTGGGAGATGTTAAGTGAATGTATAGGAGCCTTTGAACCAAGTGAGAGAGTAATTGTGGTAGGGGACCTGAATGCTAAAGTAGGAGAAACTTTTAGAGAGGGTGTGGTAGGTAAGTTTGGGGTGCCAGGTGTAAATGATAATGGGGGCCCTTTGATTGAACTTTGTATAGAAAGGGGTTTAGTTATAGGTAATACATATTTTAAGAAAAAGAGGATAAATAAGTATACAAGATATGATGTAGGGCGAAATGACAGTAGTTTGTTGGATTATGTATTGGTAGGTAAAAGACTGTTGAGTAGACTTCAGGATGTACATGTTTATAGAGGGGCCACAGATATATCAGATCACTTTCTAGTTGTAGCTACACTGAGAGTAAAAGGTAGATGGGAAACAAGGAGAATAGAAGCATCAGGTAAGAGAGCGGTGAAGGTTTATAAACTAAAAGAGGAGGCAGTTAGGGTAAGATATAAACAGCTATTGGAGGATAGATGGGCTAATGAGAGCATAGGCAATGGGGTCGAAGAGGTATGGGGTAGGTTTAAAAATGTAGTGTTAGAGTGTTCAGCAGAAGTTTGTGGTTACAGGAAAGTGGGTGCAGGAGGGAAGAGGAGTGATTGGTGGAATGATGATGTGAAGAGAGTAGTATGGGAGAAAAAGTTAGCATATGAGAAGTTTTTTACAAAGTAGAAGTGATGCAAGGAGGGAAGAGTATATGGAGAAAAGAGAGAGGTTAAGAGAGTGGTGAAGCAATGTAAAAAGAGAGCAAATGAGAGAGTGGGTGAGATGTTATCAACAAATTTTGTTGAAAATAAGAAAAAGTTTTGGAGTGAGATTAACAAGTTAAGAAAGCCTAAAGAACAAATGGATTTGTCAGTTAAAAATAGGAGAGGAGAGTTATTAAATGGAGAGTTAGAGGTATTGGGAAGATGGAGGGAATATTTTGAGAAATTGTTAAATGTTGATGAAGATAGGGAAGCTGTGATTTCGTGTATAGGACAAGGAGGAATAACATCTTGTAGGAGTGAGGAAGAGCCAGTTGTGAGTGTGGGGGAAGTTCGTGAGGCAGTAGGTAAAATGAAAGGGGGTAAGGCAGCCGGGATTGATGGGATAAAGATAGAAATGTTAAAAGCAGGTGGGGATATAGTTTTGGAGTGGTTGGTGCAATTATTTAATAAATGTATGGAAGAGGGTAAGGTACCTAGGGATTGGCAGAGAGCATGCATAGTTCCTTTGTATAAAGGCAAAGGGGATAAAAGAGAGTGCAAAAATTATAGGGGGATAAGTCTGCTGAGTATACCTGGTAAAGTGTATGGTAGAGTTATTATTGAAAGAATTAAGAGTAAGACGGAGAATAGGATAGCAGATGAACAAGGAGGCTTTAGGAAAGGTAGGGGGTGTGTGGACCAGGTGTTTACAGTGAAACATATAAGTGAACAGTATTTAGATAAGGCTAAAGAGGTCTTTGTGGCATTTATGGATTTGGAAAAGGCGTATGACAGGGTGGATAGGGGGGCAATGTGGCAGATGTTGCAAGTGTATGGTGTAGGAGGTAGGTTACTGAAAGCAGTGAAGAGTTTTTACGAGGATAGTGAGGCTCAAGTTAGAGTATGTAGGAAAGAGAGAAATTATTTCCCAGTAAAAGTAGGCCTTAGACAAGGATGTGTGATGTCACCGTGGTTGTTTAATATATTTATAGATGGGGTTGTAAGAGAAGTAAATGCGAGGGTCTTGGCAAGAGGCGTGGAGTTAAAAGATAAAGAATACACACAAAGTGGGAGTTGTCACAGCTGATCTTTGCTGATGACACTGTGCTCTTGGGAGATTCTGAAGAGAAGTTGCAGAGATTGGTGGATGAATTTGGTAGGGTGTGCAAAAGAAGAAAATTAAAGGTGAATACAGGAAAGAGTAAGGTTATGAGGATAACAAAAAGATTAGGTGATGAAAGATTGAATATCAGATTGGAGGGAGAGAGTATGGAGGAGGTGAATGTATTCAGATATTTGGGAGTGGACGTGTCAGCGGATGGGTCTATGAAAGATGAGGTGAATCATAGAATTGATGAGGGGAAAAGAGTGAGTGGTGCACTTAGGAGTCTGTGGAGACAAAGAACTTTGTCCTTGGAGGCAAAGAGGGGAATGTATGAGAGTATAGTTTTACCAACGCTCTTATATGAGTGTGAAGCATGGGTGATGAATTTTTGCAGCGAGGAGAAGGCTGGAGGCAGTGGAGATGTCATGTCTGAGGGCAATGTGTGGTGTGAATATAATGAAAGAAAATTCGTAGTTTGGAAGTTAGGAGGAGGTGCGGGATTACCAAACTGTTGTCCAGAGGGCTGAGGAAGGGTTGTTGAGGTTGTTCGGACATGTAGAGAGAATGGAGCGAAACAGAATGACTTCAAGAGCGTATCAGTCTG